AAAATTTAAATGATACACCAATCGCCATCTTCTGTCTTCGCGAAGACTGTTTGTTTATGCTCTTTTGTCCTAACATGACTCTTCTCATTTTATTTCACCCCAAGTAACCCTCCTGCATCTTAGCGATATTATCACCTTGCTTGAAGAAATAATTTTTTAAAAAATGTGGGATAATGTATATATATATATATAGTATTTGATAGTTATTAAATCTCCTCCTACTTTGACCTAAAAAGAAAGGTTTCTCATGTAAAACTGAAATATCTAGATCTAATATTTGCCCAGTCAGCATAGACTGCTAGTAATTGTATCTTGCCTAACTTTCTAATACTTTAATATTAAATACAAATGCCGAGGTGGTGTTATATACATACATATATCCATACAAACATGCATATTATACATGCATATATATATATATATATATATATATATATATATATATATAGAGAGAGAGAGAGAGAGAGAGAGAGAGAGAGAGAGAAAGAAAGAAAGAAAGAAAGAAAGAAAGAAAGAAAGAAAGAAAGAAAGAAAGAGAGGGAGAAAGAGATAGCGAGATAGACGTTATAATCCAAGTTCAAATTCCGGCTAACACCGTTACGTTCACATGGGGAAAAGCTTGTATCAATTTCCTCTCCATTAGCTAGCTATGATATAAATGGTATGGCAGATTGATCGCTTTCGTCTTGGGAGGGGTAGCAACCAGTCACAGTGAAGGATAACTTTAAAATCAAATTCTATACCTGTCATCGGCCAGCGTTCTAGAGTTTTGCTAAAATACAAAAATTAATTATATATATATATATATATATATATATATATATATATATATATATATGATAAATTAATTGATTTAAAATATGGTTATTTTCGCTACACAGTTCCAACCATGTTTCAAAAATAGAAGCTAAAACCCTAATTTTATTTTTTTTGCAAATAAATTAAAAGCATTAGTTCCATTTCATCTTCAAGCGAATTTTGGAGTAACTTTTAAAATTTACCGGGTTTTAAATACACAGCTAAAATCACGTTTCCATGGTTACAGAATATTCTACTCAAATTGAACACGGGGTGTCTAGATTTTCCTTATGACAGTATCATTGTATCAGTTATTAGCTACATTTTGGTAAGGGGTGAGGATGTATTTTACACTGAAACCTGACGTCGGTTGAATGGATGTCGTCTGAATTTAAAAAAAAAAAAAATTGTTAACGGTAAAAAATTTTCAACGTCATCTTTTAAAATTAAAGATTTTTTTTTACAATACTTTTTATTTAACTACGATTTGAAATATTTTCCTTTTTAATTTTTATTTTACTATATTCTTTTTAAGAACAGTTAAATGTATTAGAATCCATTATATTATGTAGGATTATTTTAACATTAAGTTTAAGTATGTATATGAGGTTACATTTTTTTTTTTTTTTTTTGTATATGACTATGACAGCAGAAATGGTTACTTAATTTCACTGATTCAGTAAACTTTTCTTTTATATATAAACCTATTATTATAATATTTCACATGTACTGAGGAAGTACAAAAGGACATGGGTCATTCAAAGTATTATTTAAAAGATGTTAGGTTAGTCATTCAATTTCATTTTAATTTTTTCAAAATTACAACTATAGACTATGTTATTTTTGGATTCTTTTTAATGTATATGTAAATTTTTTTTTTTTTTTTAAAAAAAATTTATTAATGGTTTACAAAACTAATTCATTTTCTTTATTTAATTTTAATTAATTTAATTTTAATTAACAAATTCATATGTATGTATAAAAAATTACAATTTTAAAATTTTAAAAAAATAAAATTTTAAAATTGTTTAGTTTTAATTTAGACTATATTACTTTATAACTGAAGTAAGAAAATTATTTTTCATATTTAAGTAATATTAATGGCCCAGTAAAATTATTTTTCCATATAAAAGTATATCAAGTTTAAAAATTTTTTTTTTTTTTTTTTTAAATTTAAATATTATTTAAGTACAAAGGAATATGGGTCATTAAAGCTTACATCTTATTTCATATTAATTTTAAATATTTGCTTTTTTTTTTTTTTTTTTGGGATTCTTTTATTTCTAGTATTATTTAAAAGAAATTTAGGTAAACAATTTATTTATTTCAATTTTAATTAATTAAACTTTTGAAATTTATTAAAAGAATCCCAAAAAGCAAATAAAAAAATGTAACCTAAATGTAAGCTTTTTAATAAAGAAACATTTTCTAGGTTTATATATATAAAAAAAAAAAAAAAAAAAAAAAAAATAACTCATATGTTAAACTTGAATTCATTTTATTTTGAGAAATGACAATTTTAATTTCTTAAATTTTAAAAGTTTATAACTTTGATATGAAAAATTTTTTTTACTAAAATATTTTCATTAAATTAAAACTAACAATGAAAATATTTTAAAATTTTAGACTAATTTTAAAATTTTAAAATTGTAGTAAAAATAAAATTTCTAACATGTTATTTAAGTAAAAATTTTTTTTAATATCATATATTTGAAATAAATAAATAAATTAATTAATTTTAAAGTTTACTAAATTGAGAAATGACTTAGCTAGTTTTGTAGTAAGTGCCATTAATATATTAATATTTAAATTTAAAAAAAAAAAAAAAAAAAAAAAATTTAATACTTTGATATGGAAAAATAATCCTTAATATGAGTAACTCTGTTAAAACTAATATAGTCATTTCTCAATGAAAAATTTTAAAATTTTAAAGTTTAATTTTGAATTTGTAATTAAAATTTAGTTAAATTGAATGAATTTAACCTAAATTTCTTTTAAATAATACTACACGCATTAAAAAGAATCCAAAATAACACCTATAGTAAAATAAAATTAATAGAATACCATAACATGTTTTTTTTTTTTTTTTTTTAATAGGTTTATATATAAAAACCTAGTGAAATATAATGTTTCTCATGTCATATACAAAAAAAAAAAAAAAAAAAAACCTCATATACATCTTAAACTTAATGTTAAAATAATTAATAATTTAATTTTCTAATATTTTGTTCTTTTTAAAATAAAATTAAAAAGAAAATATTTCAAATCGTAGTTAAATAAAAAGTATTAAAAAAAATCTTTTAATTTTAAAAGATGACGTTGAAAATTTTTACCGTTCAATTTTTTTTTTTTTTTTTTCAGACGACATCCATTTGACGTCAGGTTTCAGTGTAAAATACATCCTTTACCAAAATGTTAATAACTTACAATGATACTGTTAAGGAAAATCTTGACACCCCGTGTTCAATTTGAGTAGAATATTCTGTAACCATGGAAACGTGATTTTAGCTGTGTATTTAAAACCCGGTAAATTTTAAAAGTTACCCAAAATTCGCTTGAAGATGAAATGGAACTAATGCTTTTAATTTATTTGCAAAAATAAAATTAGGGGTTTTAGCTTCTATTTTTGAAACATGGTTGAACTGTGTAGCGAAAATAACCATATTTTAAATCAATTAATTTATAATATTAATGCTCTGTAAATTTACATTGAGCACTATTTTGTAAAAATAAAATATCTATAAGAACACCGGATTTTATATCTTACTGTTCTTTCTTTTTATTTATATACATATATATATATATATATATATTGAAGTGCGCAAAATTTTCTAATATGATTTCTGGAATATTCAAGTCGGCAGACGAAAATAAATGTATATACTGTTTAATAAATAAATGGAGCATCTACATAAATAAATACTACCACTAAAAATTGTGTTTACCTTGAAACTGAGCAGATATGTCTATTTCAAGAGTCAGATAAACATCTGTGTTTAAAGACACTATTCAACTTTGCTTGGTCATCGACACACTCTGTAGCACATATATATATATATATATATATATATATATATATATATATATATATATATATATATATATATATATATATATGGTTATATGGCTAAGTAATTTAGACATATCATGTTGGTTTATTTTGATTGTGATCCTTTCATGTTCACGGATTAATTTCTTGGTAGGCTTAGAAAATCGATTAAGATAAATACCAACATTTTCTATCAAATAATTTTTATTTCCGAAAATACTGTTAATCTCATCTGAGATCATCTTCAGGGGTGTTAAATTGTCTGAGAATGTGTATATGGATTTTTGTAAATTCAAAATATTTCAATAGTTCGTTAATGTTGTGGTCAATTTGAAAAAAAAAAAACAATAAAATTTTAAAATATATCCTTGAACAAATCAGTTAGATTTGTACATAAGGAATATGTTAAAATAACATGTAAATATGGCGATTAGACAGAGGAAAATAAAAATGAATGAAAGAAGATTATTGTGAGAAAAATACATATCCAATGTTCATGATTAGAATTCTTTTAGAGATCTAGCCACAAAAGTGCAGACGTATCTATACTAGCAATGTTTCATAGATTACACAAAAGCATTTGATAAAAAAATATATATATTAGGAAATATTAGCAAAGCTTGCTTACGGCAGATATATTCAAATAATCCGTAACCTCTCTAGGGAAACAAAGTGTGAAGTGAATACATAAAAATAGAAAGCGAAGCACATCAAGGCTGTATTTTTCTCACCGGATTTATATATCGAAACAATTCTAACGGAAATAGAAAACCTACTAAGATTTATTACTAGCGGATATATTCTTAACAGCAGCCGTTACGTAGATGACACCGTGTTAATGACAAAATAAGAAAGAAAACTAAAAGAAATGTTCAATATCCCCAAGGAAAGCAAGAAGAAAGAGGTGACCATTGATTGCAAGAAAGCAAAATGCAAGTAAAGAAGACAACTCAAAGTGTGAGTTACGTCTTGGAAACACCAAAATCAAACAAGTGTAGAAATTATTCTGTGTATTGTAGTTAAAGATGCCAAGAAGTGGGATTAGCTTAAACTCAACAAATTGTTACAAAAAAATGTGTGGGGAATTTTTCCCGGTTGCGTGTGTGTTTGTGATCGGCACTGAGAGAGGAATGGACAAAACCAAAGGCATCACGTTGAAACCCCTCTCCTCGTACGATCACCGAAGTTAAGCAACGCTGAGCCTGGTTAGTACCAAGATGGGTGATCACTTGGGAATACCAGGTGATGTAAGATTAGATGTGCAGGTGGTGTAATATCTAATGGCTCGGAATTGTTAATCGAAGAGCCGTGTTCCAATTCCAGTTGGGTTCGTTATATTCACTTATTCATACTCTTGGGAAAGGTATGAATCCACCTCTTCTGCCCCCAGCTATGGATTAATTAGTAAGACTTTCGACACTAAACGATTATTATCTTCCCCAAAAAAATAAAATTGTGTACAAAATATTTAGATTTTGGCATTAAATAATCTGCAAATGGTTGATATGATGCTAAACAGAAACAACCTGCAGCAAAACCCAAGACTTAAATTAACTGTTCAACAGCGTTTATTTCGGGTTGAAAGAGTGTACAAAATAGCAGTATTTGCTGGAAAAAGTGGGGTTTCCCAGTGAACAAAGTCCTTGATTAGTTGTTTTTGGTGAGAAAGATTTCTCCTCTAGGTCCCATGGTAAGACCAATAAATCTGAGTGTGAAACTGCTAGGACAGGCCTTGTCTTCTGCTGTAAGGGTTGTGTGTATTTGTTGTTTTTTTGTTTTTTATTTGGTAGGTGTGTCGATGTCGTTCTATCAGTGGCGGACTAGGCCGAACATTTTTACCGGGAAAACTTGTAAAATGGCCCAGTATAAAGGACCAATTTAATCAAAAAAACGTAGTCAAAGGAATCAAATAAAAGTAAAGGCTTTACGTAAATAAAATGTTACATCTATTCAATATTGAGTTGTTTATTTATGTTAACGCATGTATAAAACAAATACTAGAAAATTTTAATAATTTTATAATAAAAATGAAAATCTAGAAATCACAGAACACAGATGTTCACAAGGGATACTTTGAAGGCAAAAATAGGAAAGGAAAAATAGAGAGTGATCTAACTGACCCGTTTGAAGAAATGGATAGTTGTATATGTACCTAAATGGAGTGGTACGGGAAGAAGAATTACTTAGAGGAAAAAAGACAAGTGTTATGGGGTCCTCCCCTTTTTCATATAAGTGGACTCGACTAGAGTGTTATTTGGACTGCTGCCGTTAAATACCCAGAGTCAGTCAGAATAGAGAGTGAGAGAGTGAACAGAGATTGTGATTGAGTTGGAGGTAGAGTAATAGTGTGAGGTAACCGCTTGTAGAAGTCAGTTACAAGCACGTAGACTCTAAGGAAGTCCTACTTCGAGACTCTATATATCTATATGTTATTGCTACTAACCGCGTTCCTAGATTTACTAACAGTATTACTCTTTGTATTATTGTGTAAATACATTTTATTTCTTATATTTAATTCCTGCGTTTGTCATTCATTGGAGACCGAATTTCATCTCGGAATCCACAACACCAAGTAATTTACAAAGCACAATTTGAAATTGTTTAAAATTGAAATGTGTGCATTTTTAATGTGTGGACATATCACTACAACAGTCAAAATTCAGTAACTTACAAAGCACAAATCTCCTAGACAGCAAACAATCTAAAAACTATGTCGATTTTTTTCACAAGAAAAGGAATATCATCATCCATAGAAATTTCAGAAAGTAGATCTTTTTCGATGCATAAGTTTCAAGTCGCTCATTTGACAGCAAAGAGCGTAATCGAGCTTTTACGAGCTTTTCAACTTACTGAATGCCCGTTCACAATTGACTTGTGTGAACAACAAAAAGATATTTGTAAACTAAGAACAAATTCGAGTGTGTAGATGCATTCAAAGAATACTTAAACAGGATACGAAAACAGCAAAGCAGGCAATTCCTACATAGGTTTTCAGAAGTGCAATGTGAACCTGAAATTACATGCAGGTGAGTTTTGAAGTATCTGTTCTGATTCTAGGTGCCTGGTTGTTGCATACTTTTCAATTTGCGAAAGGTTGTCAATGTTTAGGACGAAAGACTGCAATTCATCCCTCAGTTCTTGTTTGTCGAAACCTTAAAATGATTGCATATAATTTTCAGCGCTTCTGGTCGCAATTCATCTTCTCTGAGTTCTTGTAAATGGCGTGAATCAAAATATACTGAGTCAGTTACAACTTCATGGTTGTTAAAAAACGTTCAACAATACTTGTCGTAATTTTTTGATGTTCTCAACTTCACAAATTTCCCCGCCATCTATTACAAAAACAAATCTCCTCGTCATCATTTGATTCAATGCTTCCATGAAATGTTTTGCTGTTTTCATGATGTTTTCGAAGTCCAGATTTTTTAAAACTTCTTATGCTTTTTCTACTATATGCCAGACACTAAGATAATCCTGTAGTGAACCCTCTGGAGGGGGACGCAATGTAAAATGGCCTGAGCGACCCAAATCAGTATGAGGTCACAAGACGCCCAACAACAACAACAACAACCACAGGAAAAAGGAAAAATAAGCTGAGATTTGCTATGAAAAATGAAGGGGTAAAAATTATTAGGAAGTGTATTACGACAAGGTTCGTAATCCAAAAAGAACTAAAATGTCATTAAATCAATTCTAAAACTAATTAATTACGTAGTGTGTACGGAATACGATTAAAAGGTCAAGGTCGAAGCGTCCTATTCGTTACTATTTGGGAGCGGTCAACGGCGGCTGCGACTATCCAAGCCTTCTGTTTGCAAATCTTCTGAGGCTTATCTCAGGGTACTGTACACTCGCAATACCAAGAATCTTATTAAATGAATGTCAAAGACACGTCATTTATCAAGAAGTGAATTGGCCTCAAAAGTACCTTTTGGGAGATTCAACAATACAAAGCAAGACAGCAAACTAAAGGTGAAACAATTCAGACTGTAGTGAGTCAAAATTTCCGAGAATATGTTCGAGGACTCCAACAGGTTTCTCCAATCTTCTGCAAACGTTTCAGTTTTGCTGATCCACCTACCTTCTTGAAAGGAACTTCTGCCTAGATGTTCATTGTCTTACATGATTCTGAAAAGAATATCACTGTAGTAGTCCAATCAAGTTTTTGACTGCTATAGAACTGTTCTATGTACGAATATTGTGAACTAGAAGTAGAGCCCGGCGTTGCCCAGGGATGTAACAGTAAGAGATAGATCAAGTATCGACCATCATAAAGACTAAAAAATAAAATTGACAAAGATTATTGTTTAAGGTTGACGGATACGCATGTCTTAATTAGTTTTTTTTTTTTTTTTACGAATTGGTCAAACCCAAACTCAAACAAAAACATTGTTTTCAATCGTTATGAGTCTATCGATTGAATAGAATTTTATTATAAACAATTGCCTTGTAAATGGAATTTTTAAAGCATTCTGAATGTAAAAATAAAGAAAAAAGTGTGCAAGACAATAAGAAACACTACCTGCCAAAAAAAAGTGAAGTTTTGTTGAAATCGGTTGAAAAATGTAGGAAATCCGATCCCATATATAAACGAACACACACACACACACACACACACACACACACACACACACACACACACACAAACAAACAAACAACCTGGGTTTTATAATAAGTATAGCTCGATATGAGTTGTCCCCCTTTCATTCTGGTGACAGAATCGTGTTTTATCGTGTTTTCAAATTGGTTTCGTGTAAAAACAATTGTGTTTTTCCAATTTTTGGCACTGTCAGAACCACCGCAAGGTAATTTTACGCAGTCCTGTGAAGTTTTGTTGAAATCGGTTGAAAAATGTAGGAAATCCGATCCAATATATAAACGCACACACACACACACAATCTGCGTTTTATAATAAGTAAGATACCATGGACAGAGAATGTGAGAGAGCTTAAGAAGAACAGAAAGTACAAAAAGATTGCTATAAACCAGATGACTGTAGCTAAAATTTTTGGAACAGATAATAAGGCTTACAGGAGAATTTGATGCCCACAAGGGATACTTTGAAGGCAAAAATAGGAAAGGAAAAATAGAGAGTGATCTAACTGACCCGTTTGAAGAAATGGATAGTTGTATATGTACCTAAATGGAGTGGTACGGGAAGAAGAATTACTTAGAGGAAAAAAGACAAGTAGGAGTTTAGAGACACATGATCACCCAGCACATGAAAGGATATATATATATATATATATATATATATATATATATATATATATATATATATATATATATATATATATATATATATATAAGGTTAATGGTCATAGTTGAAACCGACCAGGAAACAGTAATATTAAAAAGTGCTCAATACACGTTTGAAAAAATAAAAGTAAAAATAATATGTAGATTTTTTAACTTTAAAAATTAGGAAGTCAGTTGAATACGCGACTTTGGTTTCGACCTTACGATCTCATCGGGCGATTTTTAGTTTTTTTTATAAAAATTGTTAATGATTTTTAATACATAACCAGTTCACTGTTCACTGCCTTTAACATTGCCTTAACTCCTAACCCCTAACATATTTAATACTTGTAACAATTGGTAAATATCATAGCATAGTAGAAAATGAACAGTAGATATCATACTACAGTAGAAAATGGACGGTAGCTCATAGCACCCACTCAGCTTTAAAAGGACGTTAAAATGTAAAAGCTCAGCATCTCTGTATCTTTAATGAAACTAAACGCGTCACTAGTGTGTTTTTTTTTTTTTTTTTTAATTTTGTCATTCACTTACCCTTAAACGCGTATATGACAGTTTGGAAAAAAAATTATATTATTATGATACGCCGTTCAAACAGCGTCTGAAGATAAACGGATGTTATTAATTATTTCAATTAAATCTACATCATCGTGGCAGAACGTGATTGTAAACCTTAAGTATATGGATGCTCGATTCTTTTTTTATTTGCTTTAACTGTGTCATTTTTTAAAATAAACTTTACAAATTTCAACAAAGTTTTTACTTGATATTAGGTTTTCTTACCGACATTGTTTCATAACCAGTTTTGTAAGAATGGATGCTAGACTGAAGTAACCGGGGATTTGTAGATCACTTTCACTTTCAATGTCTCTTCGTCTGAGTAAGTTCTTTTCTTTTTTTTCTTTTTTGTAACAACACGGCACCTTCCATATCAAAACTGTAATAAGAATTTTGGTAAAAATTCCTACATTAAGAATAAGATAACTGAAAAA